TGTGCAGAACAACAGCACCCGGGACGAGCTCGCTGAAGCTGCTGATAACGCTATGGAGAATCACACCAGCTCCCAAATCATGGCCACCAACTTCCAGGCCATGTTTCTTAACCCTCATAACCTGGCAATGAATACTGGAGTCATGGCAGTTGGAAACAACCCGACTGGTCTGTCCACACCACACCACAGACAGGACAACAGAACAACTGAGGTCAGGCTGAGTGCTCTTGAGAGGTCGGTTGAATCACTTAAACCATCAGTGCATGAGTTATCAGCTAAACTCAGCAGAGGCGACAGGAGAAGTTCAAGATCTCGCTCACGAACTCCAGCAACACCTGGTCAATGCTTTTATTACAGCAGGTTTGGTGACAAGGCCCTTGCGGTGACTATATCCCTGTACTTACAAGGCCCCGGCCAACTCAGGAAACTAGCTGAGCTGTCGTCCACAGTTCAGGCGGTTGGCGACAGCAGTAACCTCGTTTCACCAATCAGAGAATACCGCCTACATGTCTATGACAAGTCATCACACCTTAAGTTTCTTGTTGACTCTGGCTCAGTCGTTTCTCTTCTATCACAAGCCTTTGTCAAGCAAAAATTAGAAGCATCTGATTTCCAGCTCTACGCAGCTAATTCCACCAGCATCAACACTTATGGACATCAACCCATGTCGCTCAATCTTGGGCTCCGCCGCACCTTCACCTAACCCTTCATCATTACAGACGTTCAGTTCGCAATCATCGGGGCTGATTTCATCATACACGTTGGCCTGCTGATAGACCTCAAGCAACATCGCCCCATCGACCCATTGGCATCACTCTCATCACTACTGGAGAACTTGCTGAAACCACGGAATATGGTATCATAACTGCGGATCAGCATGTTTCCTCCAACATTCACGACGATCAGAGGTATGTCGATCTTCTGCACAAATTTATTGACATCACCAAACCCAGCATCATCCCAGCTTCCCGTAATAGTCCTGAGGTGGCCCACCATATTGTCACCACGGGCCCCCGGTGGTGGAGTGAGTACGCAGATTGGCTGGTGACAAACTTAAAGCAGCTAAGAATGACATCAATCTTCTCTTAGAGCTTAGTGTTATTCCGCCTTCCAGTAGTCAGTGGGCAAGCCGTATCCACATGGTACCTAAGAAATTAGGCGGCTCGCGTACCACTGGTGATTTCAGGCGACTGAACGTTTAAACGGTCCCTAATCGATACCCAATCTCTGTTCCTGAGGATCTTTTTCAACGTCTGCGCGGTAAAAAGATCTTTTCAACCATTGATTTAGTACGTGCCTACCATCAAATATCTATGGCTCTATGCCTCTTGGGTTACGCAACGCAACACAGACTTTTCAACGGCACATGGACAATATCCTGAGGGGTTTGGACTTCGTCGGCTGTTTCATCGATGATCTTATTGTGGCGTCTGACAACCACGAAGAACATCTCAAGAGCCGGGAGCAAGTTTTCACCATTCTACGTCAAAACAAACGATCAACGCCAGTAAGTGCGATTTCGGGAAAGAGGTCGCTAATCTCGGTTACACGATCAACAAAGATGGGTACAAACCTCCAGATGATCGTGTTGAGGCTATCCTCTGCTATCCCAAACCAGAGACCATCACTGACCTTCGTTGTTTTCTGGGGATAATTAATTACTATCGCAAGTGTGTCTGAAATGCCCCAGAGCTACAAGCACCGCTCAACTCATTCCTCAAGAATTCCAAAAGGAAAGACAAACGTAAAGTTCCAAGGACACCAGACACTGAACAGGCTCTTGAGAAATGCAAGCGGAGTATCGCTGAAGCTGCTCGTACAGCGTTCCTATGATCAACTGTACCTCTCTCTTTTACAACTGATGCCTCCGACTCAGCCATAGGCGCCGCGTTAGAGCAGTTCGAGAACGATATTTGGAAGTCAGTGGGATTTTTCTCGAGGAAACTCAGCTCCACAAAAACTAAATACAGTACGTATGACAGAGAGTTGCTTAGGATTTTTGCAACCATTAAATTCTTTCGGCACATCCTCGAGGGTCGTCAATTCATCATTAAAACTGACCACAAGCCGTTGGTCTACGCTTTTTCACAGAAAGCAGATAAAGCCTTACCACGTCAACTTAATCAGCACGACTTCATATCGCAGTTCACCACGGAGATCGTGTATCTGAAGGGAGAAGAGAACGTAGTGGCTGACGCTCTCTCCAGGATCAACGCCATTAATATCCATTAATATCCTGAGTGACTGACCATTAATATCCTGAGTGCCGAGAGAATTGAACAAGAGCAGCAGAATGATGAGGTGCTCCAGCAGCTGATTGACAACAACACGTCACTCAAACTTCAACGTTTATCCATCGATGGCAAAACGTCCATTTACTGTGACATTTTATACGGTGTTGTGAGGCCCTTCATTCCCAAAAGTTTACGCCGAGTAGCCTTCGATACTGTGCATGGGCTGTCCCATCCCAGTGGTCGAATCACCCCTCGCACTCTCAAGCAGAAGTTCTTCTGGCCAGGCATCAAGAAAGATGCACTTGGGTGGTCTCGCAACTGTATTGCGTGCCAGCGTTCTAAGATCCAATGACACCCAAGCACATCGACGTACCTGACAATCGATTCAATCATATTCATCTAGACCTCATCGAACTTCTAGTCGTCAATCAGTTCAGATACCTCTCTCACAATTATTGATAGATTCTCTAGTTGGCCAGTTGCTGTTCCTCTGCAGGACATGTCAGCTGACACCGTCTGCGATGCCTTCTATGCAAACTGGATTGCTCAGTTCGGGATACCTGTCACCATTGATTAGGGCTCTCAGTTCGAGTCTGCTCTTTTCACAGTCTTGACCCGACTGGTTGGAGCCAATCGCATCAGGACCATGCCGTACCACCCGCAATCCAACGGGTTGAAAGGTGGCACAGGACACTCAGCCCTAAGCCCCTTGACCTGAAGTCCTGCCCACTGTGCACCTTGGTCTTCGAAACTGTTACAAGGAAGATTTAAACGCCTCACCGGCTGACCTGGTATTTGGCACGAGTCTAAGAGTCCCGGGCGAATTTTTTGTCTCCGAGGACATGCCAGCGGACCCACAGATTTTTTTTGAGAAGTTCCGAGAGTACATCCCAGCATTCCGGCCTACAACTATAGCTCATCACACGAAATCTCGGATTTTCTCGGTCTTTCTGCGTATTTATGCAGTTAAACGGCCCTTGGAGCCCCCTTACTCTGGACCGCATGAAGTCCTGGAGCGCCTGGATGACTATGTCTTCAAAATCAATGTTGATATGGAAAAAGTCGTCTCTGTGGACAGACTTAAGCCCGCTTACATTGGCAAGGAGGACTCTTGACAGCAGCAGAACTCTCAACAAGCTCAGCAAGTCCAGGTGCCTGCAGATTGTCATGGTTCCCAGTTGGTTGATCAACCAGAGACTGTTCAGCCCCAGCTGCCACTCGGAACCATGCACAGACCTCTTCGTACTTACGCTCAAAGAAAAAAGACTGTCTCGTTCCATACAGAACCCACGAATGCCATTAGGGAACTTCAAACAAGTCAGCCCCAGCGACCAGTTAGAATCATGGACGAGCCTCCTCATTTTGAAACCAGGAAAGATAAGACTTTTTCGCTCCCTTCGAAGTCCTCGAAGGTTACTGGGGGGAGAGTGGATGTGGCGACCCCGTCTCCGGCAGCTCCCGCTGCGAACACTTCGCTTGATGGTAACCAACCATCCTACCGACGGGAACCCGTCATGTCCCACGGAAACAAGCCTTAAAACCTCGATTTTTCTCTTAGCGCCATACGTCTGGCACGTTGCATTATTCGCTTTCCAAAGTTTTAATTATTTTATATATCAGAGCTTATAATTAATAAATATCAGTTGTGTGTTATCTCGTGAGTAATTATTTATCTGGGGGACCCATCTCAAACGCTAGAAGTGGCGCGACTGACGCGCCGTCTAGCTGTTGGTGGGGGTTTTTACCTTAACAAGTGAGAATTTTTTTTTTTAATCGTTATTTTACATCGCTTCGACCCGGTTAGGGTATACTGCGATGATGATCAAGACTTTAAATGGTTAGATCGCACCATTCTACCCGGCCGGGATTTGAACTTGGAACCTTTCGCATGTGAGGCAACGAACTTACCCACTGCGCCAAGCCACCGATCGACCACAAGCGACAATGTACTATAGATAAATATTCACCGGAAACTGTTATTTTTAACCGAAGAAAGCTCGGAAATAGAAAATGATAGGCAGTTATGGCAATCCATGTAGATAAGTGGGTCATCTACATGGCCTTCCAACCGTACGAGTAATTCCAATAACCCCACAGAACGCATAAGCCAGGGAGCGTGAGCATTTCAGCTCACCCTCGGCGATCAGCAACGTACACTCAACGAGATCAACGAGATCTCACCGGGAGGCTCAGTCTATTGGGCACGAACCACAGTGGATACTCGTCCCACTCAGAAATCGCGAGGCTAAAAAGTAAATAAGTCAAAAACAGTAAATACGAATGACCGTAAATTTACTCTAATTCGCAACCGAAATTATAATTCCTCTAAATCCGATAATAAACTGAAAAATAACTGGAACTTTAAATAAGCAAATAAATTATTATTGCTCAAAATGGAATATTCATATTTTTACTCTTTTTCAACGTGGATCGATACTCTTGATTATTTTTCCGTACTTTTTAATTGAATTGAACTTCATATTTGCGCGGATGTTGATGTTCTAATGTCCATGAAAGCCGTAATCCAAGAGCTAGAGTTAGAAACAAGAGTATTGCATCTCCTTACGGTAGGGATGCTAATTTTGGGAAGACCAATCGCGACTCTCTCTCTTATTACTATGACTTACTTATTATCTACTCACCCTTTACAATTTTATTCAATAAAATTTCCGTTGATTTCTTTCCATCCGATGAACTCTCGTACAGGTGGCGGAATTTTCACAAAATTCCGTCACACATTAACGGACACTATTTCATGTATTCTAGGTAGCACGTGGTTTTTTGGATACAAATCCAGCTGTTCGAGAACAAACCATCAAGTCCGTGGTTCACTTAGCACCAAAATTGGATTATAATAATCTCAATGTCGAAGTCCTTAGATACTTTGCGAAATTACAGTCCAGTGATGAGCAAGGGGGGATCAGGACTAATACTACCGTTTGTCTGGGAAAAATTGCTCAACACCTCCACCCGCAGATTCGTCAAAAGGTAAATCCTCATTTGTTACATATCTTTTCTATTATTTAATTTCTATTACATATTTATCTAAAATAAATCAATAGAGGAATGAATAAATAGATAACTGAATAAATAAATCAATTAATTAAAGGTACTGATCGGGGCGTTCATTCGTGGTACGAGAGATCCTTTCCCCCCTGCTAGAAGTGCCAGTCTATCAGCACTCGCAATTACTCAGCAGTACTATCTTCTTCAAGAAGTTGCAAATCGTATTCTTCCTGCGTTGTGTCCATTAACGACTGACGCTGATAAGAGCGTTAGAGATCATGCGTTCCGTACTATACGGGGGTTCTTGTCAAAGCTCGAAAGGGTTTCTGAGGACCCTGGCCTTCGAGAATCGATGGGTAATGTTTTTTTTGCTTCCGAATGGACGCGTTGTAATCGATCAAAATTAAGTTTCCAATTTTTCATATTAGGGTAACTAAATATAGTTTAAAAAGTTCGAATATGCGGTTTTTAGAAGGTGTTTGTATGCATGTACATATGTGGTCTTTTTTTAACTTTCGTAAGATCTATCGAATTTAACGATTTTTTTTTCGTGAACCTAGAGTTTAATAAACTCTATCTATTGACATCAGTTAAAATTTAATTTTCCATAAAGATTCGAAAAAATGAATGTTTTCAGAATTACATTTGTTAAAACAACGACATAAATTTTTTTTTATCAAAACGGAATCAATTATGGCTTAAAAATTTGATATCAATGATAATAATAATTAATACTCTCTTTATTTGATCAGAATATCATCGGAATCGCACCATAGGTTGTTGAGTTACAGCATCTGGTTTACGCGATTTGAAAAATAAATTCGGCTTTTTCATGATTACTGAAAAAATCATCAATAATATTGTGATGTCCTGAGATGTCCAGCGTCGAAGAACTACTTTAAGTCTTAGTTTTAAGGCTTTCGCGGTCATGATTAATGAAATTATTGGCTTCCGGATGGATGCCACGTTTGGTTTCAGCATTGCGCCGACGCTTCGCAAATATTACAGTCTGCATCTTCAGGGCTGTGAGCTTCGATTCTGAGCTACGATGTCTGAGGGTAGTCCTTTTATGGCTTCCCCTGTGATGGTGGGGGTAGGGGAAGGGAGGGGGAGGGATCAGCCAATCATGTTTTAATTGATCAGCTGATCCATCCGGAAGCCAATAATGTCATTAATCATAACCGCGAAAGCCTTAAAACTAAGATTAAACGCCTCCACGGAGAGGCTATGCGTGGGTCGGTGAATTTATTCACCAAACTTAGGAAGTCCTTGCACGTCCAACTGTGCTTCCTCACTTTTTTGAAAAGGTGCCGTGACCATCAAATGGTACCAAAATTCCTCCGCTTGAGGAACCCTGTTTCCTCGAGACAGGCAAAGCCATCCTCCGCCAGGCTTCACTGAGACTGGTAAAAGAGAGAATTGCAGCGGCCAAAAAGAACCTGGCCAATCTCTTCAGACAGCTTCTCGATCTTCACATTCTTCTGGCTCAGACGTTGGATTCTCAGCTGTGAGAGACTCTTGATCGTGTTACACATAAACAAGCAGTCCGAACAGCCGAGATGAGGACCGAGAATCAGAAGAGTAAGTTCAAGAAGCTGCTCCCCCAGGAAAAAGTCCCGACCCTCACCCACACTGAAGAATCTCAACAAATATGATCTCAGTGAAGCACAAGTGTCTGTGTTGGCGAAAGGACACAACTTCGCTGTTACTCCTAAAAAGATCCCTACTGAGGCAATTATTAGTTGGATCGAAACAGCGATCTACCATCTGCCTCAGGAGACCAGTGATGAGATCCGGAGGTAGTTGTCCAACATTCTCCACAAGGTTACTCCGCGTAGTGACAATATTACTAGGGAGGAACATCTTGCACTGCGTAGTCTAAAGGAGAATAATAATCTCATCATTCTTCCGGCCGATAAAGGCAATGCCACGGTGGTTATGGATAAGGATGACTACTCCGGAAAGCTCTGTGCGATGTTGGGTGACTCCCGAATTTACACAAAGCTCAGAAAAGATCCTACTCGTACTATTGAGCGCCAAACTACTGATCTCCTGAAGAAGGCTGGACTCTCAGCTGATCTGACAAAATTCCTCACTCCCAAAGAATTCTTCCCTCTTAGACTCTATGGACTTCCCAAAATCCATAAAGAGTCTGTTCCTCTCCGGCCCATCGTCAGCAACATTGGAGTTTCTCACGAAACCACTCCAAAAGTTGACTGGCCAGCGGTTCATACATACAGAACTCGCTGGATTTCGTCAACAAACTGAAGAATCTCAGGACTTCTCCAGACGATATCCTAGTGAGTTTTGATGTAGAATAGAATTCACCAACGTCCCAATTCCGGAAATCTTGGTAATAATCAAGGAGTCTAACGACATCTCTCCCCAATTCCGCCCCTTGATTGAGCACTGCTTGACCTCCACATACTTCCAGTTCGAAGAAGAGTTCTATGAGCAAAAATCGGGAGCTGCAATGGGTTCTCCCATCTCCGCGATCATTGCAACTATATTCATGGGACACTTCGAGAACGAAGCTTTGAAGTCAGCAGCGCAGAAACCTGCTGTGTGTTTCAGGTATGTGGACGATACCTTTGTCATCTGGCCACATGGGGAACTGGTCTAAACCAATTCCTGGAGTTCTTGAATGCTCAGCTCCCGAGCATCAAGTTTACCATGGAAATTGAGCAGAACGGATGCCTCCCATTTCTGGATGTCTTGGTTCGTCACAATGAGGATGGCACTCTGGGTCATCAAGTATATCGCAAGCCGACCCACACAGACAGGTACCTCAATGCCGCCTCCCATCAACACCCCTCTCAAAAGAACTCTGTTATTAGCTCCCTAATGTACAGAGCTCTTACAATCTCCCAACGCTCCAACGTCAACAGCGATGTTGAACATCTAGAGACAGCTATGACCAAGAATGGATATAACATCCAACAAATTCGAAAGGTCACGCGAAAGCTACAAAGCAAGCTCTCATCTCCTCTGGAGGAGATTAATCCTGAAGAAAATTGGGAGAAACCTAAAGTGGCCCTCCTCCCCTACCTGAGAGGCACCACTGAACGCATCAACAGAGTACTCGGTAAACACAACATCCGAACAATCTTCCAACCCTCAAAGAAGATTGGACAGATGCTACCGAGTGCGAAAGATCGGAGACCGCCTCTGAGTACACTAGGAGTGTACGAGATCCCCTGCTCATGCGGAAAAGGGTACATGGGTGAAACCGGGAGGAAGATCAGTACACGGATCAAGGAACATCAAAGGTGCTCCAAATACGGTCACTTACAACAGTCTGCACTTGCTGAAAATTGGATGGACACTGGACATAGGATCGAGTACGATCAAGCCAGAATGTTGGCCAAGTCTCAAGGATATTTCGAAAGGAAATACCGAGAAGGCTTGGAGATCTACAGAAACCCTAACAACCTCAAAAGGGACAGAGGATATCAAGTGACCCCTATTTGGAAAACCGTCATCCCGGTTTTTTAATTGATCAGCTGATCAGTAAAAACATATGATTGGCTGACCCCCCTCCCTTCCTCTACCCCCACCATCACAGGGGAAGGCATAAAAGGACTACCCTCAGACATCGGAGCTTAGAATCGGAGCTCATAGCCCTGAAGATGCAGAGTGCAATGTTTGCGAAACGCCGCCGCAATGCTGAAACCAAACGCAGCATCCATCCGAAAGCCAATAATGGAACTACTTTAAGTTTTTATTGTTAATGATCTAAAACTTCCAACCAAAATTATCCATAGGAAAGTGATAAAGAGACCTGTTTCTTTTCTGCCTTGATTTATTACAATTAAAAACCTTTTTGTTTTTAAATGATCAGGGATTTGAGGGAAGGATTATTAAACAAACGGAAATGCCGGAAGATATCCCCTTTTATATTTTTTTTTTATTCAAGGCATTTTAAACTCTTTGGTTTACTCCGCTATCTACCCTCTACCTAACCTTGCGGCTGTGGCCGACTTGCTACACTGTACCGCATTTGCTCCTACGAGAAACCGATGAAACCACAGAAAACCTCTGTCGGTACAGTCGATTCCTCTATTAGGAACCTCCCGCTCGCCCAGAGTCGAGGTAAGATGGATCCCAGAATCCGCCCCAGGTGAGCCCCTTAACCCCCTTTACCGGAAGTTAAGGGTCCCCCCCAGTCGGGATCCGAAGCCCAGCCACCCTTTCGAGCCCCCAACCCCTGTTTCCAGAAGTTAAAAAACCCGATCGGACTGGGATTCGAACCCACGACCTCCTAGTGGCCAAGCCGAACTAACGACTTAGCCACCGCTACCATTGGACGTCGGTCCCCTTTTATACTATATTTTACACATTTTTTAGATACATCACTGCGATTCTACTAACGAGCTCCCTACCCCTGGATAAGTTTTTTTTTTACAAATTTTGAAGAAGTTTGAGATACTCACAATTGAGGAATATATTTCCTTTGGTAATCCAATCTTTAAGTGTTGAAATTTCTGCGTTAATCCCAATTTTACAGTGAGTGTGTTGTGATATTCACTCGTGAATATACTTTGCAAGTACACCAAGTTTCTTAAATTAAGTTATAAGTTCTTATTAATTTAATACTACACAAGAGTTTATTGCCCGAAAAGAGCGTTGCATTCATAGCTCTTTCAAGAGTTGATAATTTCAATTTCAATGTGCTGTCCTGAGACTTGGCAACATCCGAGTACGCGAGGATATACATTTTCATGAGTTAAGCAAGGTCTGTTTAACCATGTCCTTTTACGGTTCGGAAAAATATAAATTTCGGCTGAAGACAACAGTAGTCCCATCCCGATTCCCGCACGATCACTTTTAACTTCTCTCAAAATCACTTGTAAGCGCCAAATATTGGTTTACTCAAAGAATACGAAAGGATTGACCAATTTCATATTATTTTCGCCAGGGTATGTTTATTATCCGCGAGGTGACTCACGACTGATTCTCAAGGTGTTCGAAAATTCGCGTTTCGGGAGTGCTGATGGCTTCCATGAGTTCGAAATTTAGTCACGAAGTTGAGAAAGAATTGGTGGACGTGTCGGGGTTGGTGATCGCGGAGCGTTGACCATCAGAACAATCTAATGCGTCGACGGTTTTTCAAGCACCGACTTATTCTGAAATCAACCGAAATTGTACTTCCTGAGCGAAAAAATCGTTTGGATTTCCATACTTTACATTCGGACAATATTGAAAGAGTTTTGAAATTATATTTGTTTTGACAAAATAACATTCGGACAAATTCGAAACATTCGAAAAATTTGTTTCAATCCTGAAGAAAGCATCAAAGCATTTTTTTTAAGAAATCGAGTTGAAATATACCATTTCTTATCACGTTACACAATAGCGTCATGATCTTTTAATATTTGTGAACTTCAGATATCAGCATATTATGTTGGATATTTATTCGTATTGATTCATTATGCCGACTAACTCCTCACTAAATCTGGGTTAAACTTTCACTAAATACTGATTAAACCCTAATGAAATGCCCACTAAAGTCTGACTAAATCTTGATTGTAGCCCGATCAAATAACGATGAAACCGCAATTGGACGTTGAGTGGACGTTGTGACTGAAACAGTATTAGAGTCTTGTTAGAATGTTAGTTAAAATGTCCGATCATTTGAAAGAACGCAATAGTACGCCAAAATTTGATGGCATTTTAATTGATGAGAGTAGTATGAATAAAGAATAGAAATGCATAGTAGAATAAGAATCCTAAAAGGAGAATCTATTTGGAAGCAAATTTTATTAGCAACAATAACTATACTCATTTACAATAAATGCAATTATTCACTTGTTTTCTTATATAACTTCAATAGTGTAGGGATGAAGGGGTTCGAGACTCACGTTGTAGAACACCTTTACGATTTTTTAGGTGCCGTAAGATGGTTAGCATATACATATCAATACATGACGCTAAAGAAATTGAAATGATTTCCGTCGATAATGCGTGAGGTCGACAGAAAAGGTCAGAAAACCCGTCTTGTAGGTGAGAAAATTTCCAACGAAAATTTTTTTTTTATATTCTCTCTCAAAATTCTTTTCCGATGACATTGACGTGTAACTACGCTAAATTAAGGAATTAATTATTTTTGTTTGTTTTTCACAACAAATAAAAAACATATATCTTCAATCGAAGTGGGAGTGACTCTCCCAACCAATTTAGAGCTTTGATGATAGAATATGTGGTCTTATTTCAGATGTCTGCAATAATATAGGGGAGAGTGGGGCAAAACGAAACAGTTGGAAAACGACTGACGCAATTCAAGCAAAAAATTTTTTTTCCATCAACTTTTGTTTATCACCTTTTTTTTCATTATTGAGAATCCATTCTACTGAATGGAAAATTATTATTCTCATCAGTACTCTCAAGAATAAACAAAAGTTAATAAAAGAAATATTCAATAAAAAAAATGTTTTCTGCTTGAATTGCGTCAAACAGTCGTTTTTCGAGTGTTTCATTTTCCTCCATGTTTCGTTTTGCCCCACTCTCCCCTATTTATAACTATGGGTATCTATAACTATAGTTATGGTTATATTAACACTTATGAATAAAGTTAAATTATAGCAGAATAGATCGAGTACAGAATACGTTACATGGATTTTTTTTAAGGGACAAATTTTTAAATAAGTATTTTTTATGCCTTATCATACTTTTTAGAAAACACAATTTCAAGAAGTTGTTCCCCAAAATTTTAATGGCCCGAGTCAAATTTGTGATGTAGGCTCTTGGAAAAATCATGAATATTGTACTTATCCAATTATTTCATTATTAAACAGAGGCTGATGTCAACACTGCGACCCCGAGTCTCAGCAACGCAGCAGCAACGTGGGCAGGTTGGGCTGTAACCACGATGACAGCTAAGTTTTACAGAAGTCAATCGGATACACCAAAGTCTTCCAATCATCACGGTGCACCACGAATTTTACTTAACAAACCTGCATCACTTGGTACGTCTCTCAAAAACCCAACCATTACTGTACGTTATTTCTAAATTTAAAAACAGTTGTTTAACTGACAATTTCAGTAAAAGAGTTGCGGAACAGTTAATTGAAGGGTAATTAAATGTCTTTAAAATGATGATTCGTTTTGCAAACGAGCGAATAAGGAACTAGCAGGGAGCGCAGTTTTTCCCCATTCCTCTACTCATCTATTTTACATAACCCAAGGCTTATAGATTATACAGGTTATGCGAGCGATCTGTCGCTGCGCCGATTTTCGCTGGTGCACCGATACAGCCTTTAGATTTGGTCCGGCGAGTTTCCTATTCGTACGGTACATCGAAAATTCAAGATTTATACGGTAACTCTACGGTACTCTAACATATACCATATTGACAAAATCTGTCAATTACCGTATACCGTAGAAATGAATATATTTCGAAGTCTTTCGTACCACCGAAATCCGAGTCCATTACCGTACTCCATAATTTTCAGATTTATACCGTAGAAATAATTACATTTTACCGTACATTCTTATATAAAGAATCTATCGTACATTTTCGTCCTAAAAGAATTCCATACTTCAGTTTTTTCTTTGAACATTGCTGATACCGTATTTGCCGTAAACTCTTAGCACGAATTTTTACCGTACACTTTCGACGTCATCACCGTACAGTTTCTACTGTATTTTTTGTTAGTTATTGTTTTGATAATCTTGATCATGAATATAATGTTTTTGATCCGCAAGGGACTCACGGTGGTTTTCACTATAGGTTTGCGGCATGAGTATATGAAAATAAATAATACCGTACATTTCGCATACTCATTGTACCGTTTGTTCCTTGTACAGCGATTTGTCAGTATAGCCTAACGTACGCTTGTTTTATGAGAATGAAAAACCATTGTTCTACCGTACATTGTCAATGCATATCCGTACGATTTGTCACATGGATTTCTGAATTTCCAATAACGCATCGGTTATCACTTATCGGTTGCATCTATTGTATATTATTGTTATCAGTGATAACCGATGCGTTATTGGAACAGACGAAAATCAGACGAAATCGAACTGAAAAAAATTGAAGGATATGCATTGAGAATGTACGGTAAAACAATGTTTTTTCATTCTCATAAAACAATCGATTCAGGAAGGCGAAGAAGATTACAGTACGAAAGCGTACGTCAGACTGTACTGACAAAATACCGTACATAACAATCCCCACCAATACATGCGAGAAATTTACGATATTATTTATTTTCATATATTCTATTCTCTAAATATACTGAAAACAACCGCGAATCACTTTTGGATCGAGAAAAATTATATTTATGATCAAGATGATTAAAATAATGAGCAACAAAGGATTCGGTAGAAATAACACAATGATTAGGTTGAAAATGTACGGTAAAATTTCATCCCAAGAGTCTACGGCGAATACGGTATCATTATTGTTTGAAGAAAAAAATAAAACATGCTATTCTTTTGATACGAAAATGTACGGTAGATTCTCTGTGCAAGAATGTACGGTAACAGTTTGCAAGAATTTTCTTCATCTGCATGCAAAACTCCATTCAGGAAGTTATCAGATATTTCCATCAATTGTTAAATGTTTAGAACAAGCAAGCAGTTCTCAGAGTAGTGCTAGCACGACAGCAACGACGAGCAGCGCAACTAGCATGACGTCATTGGAACCTGATCATGATCATGACTCTCAGCATACGAGGCACACAAATTCTGATGGAGATTGGGACTGGGACGCTGATAATTGGGGAGATATGGAGCAGCAGTCCTCTACTACAACGACCACAAGTTCGAGTAATCTATCTACATGCGCTACTGCCTCGAAATCGCACGATCATTGGACGAGTTTAGAAGAAGAGCCGGTCAGACTCAATTCCTACCACTGCTTTTAATAATATCAATTATTCTCATCATTTTTGATAATGTTCATTCATTGAATGTATTACAGGAAGAAGAGGCTGGAGAGGGAGCTCAGGACTGTACAGAAGCTTCTGAACCTGGTTGGGATGATCAAGAGTTTCAGGAACTCGATGAATTTCAAACTATTGAGCCAACAGGTAAATTATTAAAATTAAAATGTAGTAATTTTTTCTTTAATTTCGCTCAATTTCTAATAACTTTCTATTGATTGCTTATTAGACAGAAAGAGGTGAATAACATTTTTTTTTCATTTCAATTAAATTAATTAATTTCCGCTTCCGATTGTAAGTCAGATTTCGACATTCTGTTTCCCCAGAAATGATGTAGAATGTTATAAAATGTGCAGGAATGGCGATTTCAGAAAATGTCTGGAGGCGATCCATATATTAGTGGGGAATTTTTTTGCTATTTCGAATTCTCCGTGGAGATCTTACGGAAGATGTACAATGTTACATACATCAGACATGGCTATTTCACTATTTATTTGATACTACGCGACATTGTGGATCTGAAATTCATCATCAAGAGAAAAAGTTTTACACTGAAGACTATGGGTATTATTAATTGGCCTATAAAAATTAAATTGACGGGTTCCGGTGATGGTTGAAGCATTGGAGAATCGAGTTTTCAAAGCCTCTTCTTCTTATCTATGTTGTTCACTTGTACAGAAGATACTTTCTGTTGATTTTATCGAGTCTTTGGCGAATTCATAAAAGTCTTGTGGTGTTTTAATTTCATTTTCATACGGTCGTTGTAAACTCGCTCAAGCTGCAGCTCTCTTCATCGTTCTACCGATGCTATCACATGCCGATTTTCTATGGGATGTTGCAAAGAAATGCCACTCAGCACTTACCGAAGTCTAATTTATAGTAAATGAGATCAATGAAATTTTTCCTATTTTTGTATTGAGAACTGGCACCGTTCGAAAAATGAATTATTTTATTGATTTGTACTTTTCGAGCGGTTAATGACTTTTCTGAGGAATAAATGAACGGCTGCGTGGCATGATTAACGCCCTTCATACACTTGGAGGGCGTCAGAACGGGGTGATTTTCAATCATTTTTTTCTAATAGAAATAATTCATTTATCAAAAAACAGTTAAATGTATTTGAAAATTTACATATTTGAGCTTATTTACAACAAACTCAAATTTTTTTTTTCATTAATGTATTCAATCTTGAGGCTGCCGAAGAAATTCGGATTTCCACATACAACGTCCCTCGTGCACACAAAAATCACTATTTGTCGTATCTGAAATGAAAAAATGAAAAACATTCTTAAAATAACATTAATAGGATGTGTCGTTCTCGTCTCAAACAATTTTTTTTTTCAATTTTTGGAACAATTATGCTTTATCTAAGTTTTGGTGCCATTTCGGAGTACAATTTCACCATGTTTTGGACATTAACAACGAATAATGTTGGGTTAAAAATTAAAAAACAGCTCGGCAGCGGCAAGAAAACACTGTAAACAACCTTCAGAAAAAATTTCAGGCAAATCGGTATGCTGGTGTTGCAAATATTGTGTGCACCGTCCTGAAAAACCTCATTCCGAGAAAACGGCAGTCAACGTTTTGGTACTGCTTCGGGCTCACGCAGCGGGAGTGCACTTCCAACAAGGCTCTTACATTGACCATTATTTTTTTTTTCTAGTCTTCAATTGAAATAATCGAATCAACTGCTTCGAATAATTCTTTATGATATATTTGAAGTATGTTAATGCAAGAAAATAAATTCTTTGAATTTTTGGAAGTTGAAAAAAATTTGGCTGTTTTTCCATCGAATATAGTGTGACAGATTCCTATTTCTCACGATCAAATGATACGATATTCAAGAATAAATACTCACACAGTGTCATCAATCCCTGCACCATAATCATAATCAACATTTTCATCCGAGTTTTTCTGGTTTTGTCTCCTCTGTCTAGCTTCTTTGGTTGCGTTTTCACTTTCGCGCGCAGCGCCAAGCTAAGTCTTCTTTCATTCTCCGATACGGCCCATTCATGGGCATTTACTCCTGGTATAATTTCCATCGCTTGCATAATTTTCAGTAATGACCCAGCCCCTTCATTGAAAACATAAGCTGCGACATGAGCAGCGATTTCCACCGTGGTTTTACTGCCATTTACTTCTTTCGGACATATTTTCCAAATCATACTATGTAAACTTTCATTATTATTCTGAGTGTACCCTCCAACGCAACGTTCCAATAGTTCTTCTCTTGTAAGATCTTCATAAATTGGTTTAATTGCTTCTAATACGTCCTCAGGTAGAGATGCGTAGTCGTTTGCATAGCCCTCCAAATTATTGTTCGCATTTGCTCGTTGTCACGAACACCACGAATCAATGCCTTTCGGACATTTGTCGTGTTGAGGATTTTGATGCGTAATGATAAAAGGTTGCCAATGCTGCTTCTTTTATTATCCTTACTGAATCTGAATTCCTACGGATCGCTAGTCCATAATAAAGGGATAACTTTTTAATCATCCTTGCCGTCAACTTGCCCTGTCCTCTTAGTCTTTTATGAGCTCCGATAAGTTCGTGGAGTCGCGTGCCCATCCATTTTTGGACATGCCCAATGCACTTTTTCTTGATAATCTTTATTTTTTCACCGTACGGTTTGGATTTTGTAACTGCCTGGAAGGTTTTTGTGTCACCGTCCCCAATATAACTATTGTACATCACAGTGTAGCGCTGGATTGACCTTCCAAACATTTCTATGATACCATCCCCTTCCATTTTTCCAGAAAAAGCGTCGTGATTCATTGAGCAACTACTCTCATGGTCCATTTTCCATTCCTCATATTCTTCGGTACCTTGACGCGAAGACCAATATTCGCACGATTTGCAATAAGCAGACTTCACTAGTATATCGAAGACTTTCCCTGTTTGCCACCCGATGAGAGCTACCACCCCAAATAATGACTTCTATCCGAGTATCAACCATGACCCATCGCCAGAACATGTGAGCTGTGTGTCATCGCCACCAGTATTTTTTGTTTCTTGGCTTTCTTCTCTAACAGCTTTTCTCAAGAGCACATTACAAACAGCAGATGCAGCTTTGTGAATGTTGGACACTATCATATCATAAGTGCTTTGTGCTACCGGTTTTGGTAGGTCCATGATACCACAAAATTTTTTCACTCCGTTCAGACCAATTCCTAACAACCGAAATGCAAAGACGAATCTCCGATTGGTTTCATATGCACTTCTAATGTACGGGCACGAAGGAATGGAAACGGGTTTACATACTGCACATTCAATTCTGATTTTGAAACCTAGTCCACGCGTACTATCGCACTTGAATTACACTTCACTGTCGCATTTCTTACACTTCATAGACTCAGATATCAATGAAAAAACGGTGAAAAAGTTCAAAATTCGATAAGTTACGGATCCCGCTTTAAGAAGTGGTACATCGTCTGCTGTATTCAATTTTTTAGCGGACCTACTGGTACTTGCACTTTCCTGTTCTGATTGATATTGGTTGCGCGGTATTTTTCGTTTTTTCGAAAGATATATTTTCGCTCCTATAGCTTTACGCATTGCTCTAGTAACTTTGGAATGACCACCCATTTTATTGTGAAAAAACTATCGAGCTATTGAAATACTCGATTTTTGCGGTTTACGGTGGAGTAAAAATATGTTTGAAGAAATTCACTAAAGCGTACTATTCCTGACTTCTTCCGAAACTCGACTAAGGAAAATTAGTTTTTAGGCGTCAATAAAAGTGCCGGAACTTACCATTATTACTGTCATTATTAACAGGTAAAACATCGGTAATGCGCAAACACTCAAAAGGAAAATATAAATAGGGGGAATTGAAAATGTGAGGGAATGGCTCCACCCTGGAAACATTTACTATTGTTCATTAATGAGTGCCCAAATTTTCAACAGTGTATTTTTCATTAATCGCAGGTAACGCAATTATCAATGAACCATTGAGTGTGTTTATACACTGTATAAAGCTAATACAAAATTTACCTAAAGAAAGCGAGGGAGACAGAGAGAGAGCGCAGAATAGGGACCCGAAACTGTATGAGAGACGATGCTATTCTACGCAACGGGGCACCTGCCATTCAGGTCAAACTGACCGGGTCCGCTACAAATGGCTGTATCTCTGTCAATTTCGGCGATTTTCAAGCGACATTTTCAGAAAATATTCTTCAAGGATGATACATCGAATAAAAATATTTTTCAAAAAATGATTTTTTTGACCCATCTAGGTGTATGTAGGGCCTTAAGAAACTTCCGCAGTAAGTATACTTGGTGAAAATTTCGAAATGGTATAAAGACACAATATTTGGATCATATGTTGTTGAGCACATTCAAAAACTATTCCCAAAATTTCAAGTACCTTGTCCATCCCATTTTCGAGATATACACCGTCAAAAATGGAAAAAACACAAAAATTGAATGTTTGGCGATGCATATCTCAAAAATGGGGTGGACCAGGGACTTGAAATTTTGGGAATATCTTTTTAATGTGGTCAACAACATATGATCCAAATATCGCGTCTTTATACCATTTCGAAATTTTCACCAAGTATTCTTACTGCGGAAGTACCTTAAGAGACTCAGAAACAAACAAAACTATTGTGCTTCAACTCGATGCCATCTCGATGATAAGCAATGATTGGGTGAAGAGTTACTTGATCTTTTGATCAGTCATAATCTTTAACAGCACCCTGCCTTAGAAAACTATAATTTTCCACGAAGTCACCAAGAATTATGAATTCGCTAAGTTTTAAAGTCTCTTTGCATTGATTCAAAAATACGTGTTGGCTTTTAGCAACGAAATCATGCTGTCGGAGGACCTTCAAATCAATACACAATTTAGTTACGAATGAGTCCGTTTGTTCAGTCCTTTTGATCAATTCAGATCGGTCAGTAGCAGTCCAAGTCATTTAAGTCGCTGACTCAATAGAATTTACGTCACAAATGTCCTCTAAATGGAGTTGACTGGTCTCTATGCCTGGACATTTAGGGCATTCACCGAAGTGGCACAATGAAGTGGGTTGTTCATACATAATTGCACTCAACACTTGGTAATATTCCCTTGGAAATGAGCAGGCATCGAGCGCGTCCGGTAATTAAAATGCTTTGATTCCTGGTAATTATAATTTAAAATTTTCATG